TTAAGTACATGATTGACGGTTCGAAAGTCGTTTTTGAGAAAGGGAAATACGACATTTCACCGCCACATTCGATCAGCTGCCAGTTAGAAGTATTCGTGCTGTTGTGTGGTTGGGAATGTGTCTATATCATAGGTCAGTGCAGAATAGTATTATTACATAATGATGTGTGAGTTTCTAGGCCAACAGTTTTCTAGACGCTTGATTAGACATATGAGTTCTCTACCTTAGCTGGCGCGTAATCCTGATCACCTGCTTGACTTCCTTGTATTGTACTGTATCAAACAGGTTGTACATTAAATGCCAGTGCAGAACGCTAATGATTTGCGCGATCATGTATGATTGCTGCAAATGAAGTACTTCAAGTGTGGGATTTTTTTTGCGTGATTCAGAAATGTTTTTTCTAGTGTACGCAGAAAACGTACTTGTGTTTGTATTTACTGGTGATGTAATTTATTTTTTCTAAAGAAACGATAGGGCTATTGACGAACCACCCATAAACAAAGACGACGTTCCTTGACAATATTTCAATGGCCGTTTGGAAATTTAATAAAATTGCAATTACCTATCCAGAAGATATTGATTTACTTATTAATGTTTAGGCAACGTTAATTTTTGTGTTCTTAATACCATGTCGAAGTGTACTTCAAATAGTACTGCATACTATCAAACTATCAACGATGAACAAAGCAATTATTTAATTAACTCTTATCGCAATGGGTTATTTTAAAACCAAATACTTTTTAAAGGTCGTGCAACTACGGAAATATATGTAGAATATTTAAATGTATTATAATTTTGTGGAATAAAACCAAGATTTAATTATTTTTTCAATTATTTAGACATGCGTCACCGAGTTTCCTCAATACCTTTAGACATTCCAATTTAAAGAATTTTTTGAAATTCCAGTTAATCAGTGGTTGTCTAATACATCCTAAAATCAACACAACATGCGCATCTTATTTTTCAAGCTTTAGGTATCTAGGTATATATTAGTAGGTTTATTGTTCCAGCTTAAGCTTTATATTTCTAGCTTTCTTAAGGTTTTGACGTGATGATAATTCATTGATCAGTGGGTCAGTTAGAAAATGTTACTTTATAATGTATAACGTTATGGATTTATAAGAATAATTTTCGCTTGGACCAACTTAAATTCATAGCTACAATTCACTTTCCAAAAGGGGTGTTCTTTCTGTTGCAGAACCGTTACCAAGCCTCCAATAGCTTAGGCAACTCTAAAAACATTTCACCTGGGCTTCGCTATCATAGAACCAAATTTTAGTATTAGATGTAAATTTTATTTATCTTTTTCATGTAAGTAGTGGATGCCCTTCGAAAATTTCGTAATATTTGCTGAAATACTGCTCGCATACACAACTAATTGAACAAGAAACTATGAGACATGTTCAAATGGCTTTGTGTAATGGATTTAAGTTCTATTTACCGTTTTCTTGTGACTAGTGGATGACCTCACAAATGGAGACATTAGGCAGGCCGTTTGAATGAATTGGAGGTTTATTTTGCGCTTTTTATTTATAAGCGGCGTTTTCCGAAAATCAAATCTGATGTAATGTCAGTGTTCGTCTACCATCTAACCATGCAACAATAAATTGAAGATATTTGGGAAAAATATAAACATTTATCTGAAGATTAACCGAGTAACGTAAATGTATTCAGGGATGTAAGTTACCTATTATACTTTAATATCTCATGCTAATGTTTGTCTGGTTCACTCTTGTAGGTTTTTAAATTCTTGCTTATTATGTTTTTAAACAGGTGTATAATTTAAGAGTTAATTGTAAAATTCTAAAGATCAATTCCCCAAAATAAAATATAATCCGACAGACTCTATCGAGAGATAGTTTAAACTGCATGTGGAGGATTCTCTCTTCATTTTATCTTTGTCTATTTTCATAACCGCTAGGAAATATTTGACAGCTTAAGCAATTCCTTCCTTCCAACCCAGATTAAATACTTGTGCGATAGTCTGGAACGGAGGAGAAGGTGATGCCGGCTGGAAATTCCTAAGAGGGTTTCTTGTAAACCACAAGTTTCGAAGAAAGCTATGTAGCACATAGTAGACGAAAGAATGAAAGTTGTGATGCATAAAATGCTAGTAATTTAAGTGTTAATATTTTTTAATTGTAAACATATTGTAGAGACTAGTAGGGCAACAATATTATTTACATTTAAAAAATCAAAAATTAAATAACGTATTTAGTAAACTTCCATGTAGCAGTCATAGTTCAGTTTACAATCCTTCATATTAATAACTGAAATAGATTGGTACCCTAATAGGCAAAATTAAATTTACGATACTTAATAACATGCCAAGTAAAAGTACTTGCAAGGTATGTGTTCAGATTTCCTAGAAAAAATATTTGGTCTGCTCCTTTTTGAAAAATATACATTTACAAGGGCTGGGATTATACCTGCTAACTTTCTCTTTGGGGCATTATGGGTTGTATGCAGGCAGATTGAAACTTGAAAACAAGTAGCAATAAAAAAAGGTTCAAGGAGGAGGCAGGCAGTTTTTCGGAAATAATTGCAGAAGGAGAAGTACTTTGCTTTTCATAACGAGTAGGCGCTCTCGTATTCGGGTTGTCATTCAAGGAATATAATTTTGGGAAATCTGCACATAAATAAGGTTATGTGTAGGTTAAGGTTTATACATTAAGTTTTTGTACATAGTGTTGTGTTTTGGAAAATACAAAGCTTTAACGCAACAAGGGTTTTTAATTTAACAATACTAGTAGTCCATTGGTTCATCCTGAGCTATTGAGATGATGTGTAGCGAATTACGCACACATTAATTGGTCCTTCGAGCCGGATCAGGAGTACCCAGGATTAGTGGTAATACATGGGAATTCTTCTATATAACATAGAAGTTTGAATACTACAAGGTTTGCATATTGAAAGTTGCGGATTTCTGGAATTCTTCGAAATTGATGCCGAAGATATATGGATACAACAAGGAGTTGGATCTACTAGGTCATTTATGGGCGATAGTGTGTAGTGTACAGTGTATACAGTGGATAGTGAAAGTTTGGGATTTAAGGTCAGACAAAATATTTTTTATTGTTTGTTGCATTTTTTACTGACATTTTTTAATTAGTGGATTATTTGTTGATATTGGTTTCTTTGATTAACTTAGTTGCATAATTTCGTTGGGTTACGTCATCATTATTTTTAATTTTTATTAAAATAAAAATGGAAAGGTTAAATAGACAAAGGGCTGTCTTTAAAGGCACAATTACTAGGGTGGAAACCTTTATAAATAGAAGTATTGCTGACAACAATATAGATGTTTGTGAATTTGAAGTAAGGCAGAATATGTTAAATGAGGCTTATGTAGGTTATTCGGAAGTTCAAGGGAAAATAGAAGACGAGGATGATTCTGAAGTCACATTAAATGATAGAGCTGACGTAGAAACCAGGTACCTAAATTTAAGTGCATTAATTAAAAGGTGTTTAAAGAAAAACATTGAAACAAATTCTAATTTGAGTTCTAGTTCTTTAGGGTCATTACAGTCTCAATATAACAATATTAAAGTTCCAGAAATATCTATTCCAGTTTTTAGTGGAAAATTTTCAGATTGGAGTAGTTTTTATGATTTATTTAATGCACTGATTGTCGAGAACACACAGTTCTCTGATATTCAAAGGTTTATTTATTTAAAATCATCCTTAAAGGGTGAACCTTTAAAATTGGTCGAAAATTTACCTTTAACTAACGACAATTTTAAGATTGCTCTAAACATTTTAAAAACTAGGTATGAGAATAAATTGTTTGTTGTTAATGCACATATTAAGGCACTGGTGGAAATTCCGTCTATAAATAGATGTACGGGTCCTAATTTACGTGAATTCATTACAACAGTAAAACAACATGCGGAATCGTTAAAAAATTTGAGTGTCCCAATTGAGAGCTGGGACCTAATTTTAATTTATTTACTAATGCAAAGATTAGATTTTCAAAACTAAACAAGCAGTTGAATTTGATAGAGGAAGTAGTGCATTTTTTGATTTTCTGGAAAAACGATGTATTACATTGGAAAATTTAGGGGTTCCGGAAGGTAAAGGAAAGTTCGTTAATTTAAACACAAAAAGCACGGATTATAAGGGAGTGCACACAGGGCTAAAATGTGAGTATTGTAAAGGTACTGATCACCATATTAGTAAATGCTATAAGTTTAAATCGTTATCGACTGACCAACGACGACAATTTGTAACTATAAATAGATTGTGTTATAAGTGTTTGTTGCCTCATTTTGTGCAGAATTGTACTAAGGCAGGGTGTTCAATTTGTAAGGGTGAGCACAATACCTTATTGCATGTTCAAAATTATACTCCTTGAATTGCAAGGGGCAAAAACGGGGGTCAAGGTCCTAGCAGTAAAGGAAACATTGTCGTAGGTAACAGCTCTAACGGTGACGGTCAACGTGGCAGTAATGGGAACAATAGGGATATTCCTGCCTCTCAGGAGAACACCATCGCAGTGATTGATCATAATGAAATAGTAGGAGAAAAAACGTCTTTAGGTAATTCCATTCAATTATCTGCAATTGCAAAAGGTAGATGTAACTATGTTATGTTAGCTACGACGCAGTGTGTCTTTTGGATAGAAACGGGAGGTCTGTTATAGCGACAGCTTTATTGGACAGTGGTGCACAATGCTCGTTAATAACAACAAAATTAGCGAAAAGGTTAGTGTATCCAACCTATAAAGGCACTGTTGAAATTTCGGGAATATCAGGCAAAGGGGCGGTGTGTAACGAAATGATTGACATTACACTATCTTTAAAAAATTGTAAGGATATTAATAATAAGGAAATTCATGTATCTTGTTCAGTTTTAGATAGATTTGTATTGAAATTACCCCAAGTACAAATAGATATGAATAAAATTCAAATTCCGTCCGATTTGCATCTGGCTGATCCATTATTTTACAAACAAAAATCAATTGGTCTCTTACTCGGTGCCGATATTTATTATGACCTGATCACACCAGAAATAATAAAACTAGGTAGAGGTTCGCCTGTTTTACAAAACACTCTCTTTGGTTGGGTTATTGCGGGCAATTTATCTCTCTTTGGTTGGGTTATTGCGGGCAATTTATCTGAGGAGTTTATTGGGCATATAAGTGCAAATAGTTCTGATAAAGTTTCTTTGACGGCAACTGTAGGGGATGTTAATAAAATAATGGAAAGATTTTGGGAAGTCGAAGATGTTAGTTGTAGTAATAAAATTAGGAATTGTGAGGAAGAACTGGCGGAAAATATTTTTAACAAGACAACAAAGATTTTAGAGGACGGGTCATTTCAGGTAACTATGTTACTTAAAACAAGCAATGAACATGTAAAATTGGGTGATTCCTATACGTTAGCAAAAAAGAGATTTTTTAATTTGGAAAAAAGGTTCTTAAGGGATAATGATTTATTTTTAAATTATAAGCAGTTTATTGATGAATATGTATCATTGGGTCACGCAAAATATGTACCACTCACATTTAAAACTTCTCTTGGTTTTAATAAGTATTTTCTTCCACATCATTGTGTCATTAAGGAATCAAGCATGACCACAAAACTAAGAGTGGTTTTTGATGCTTCTATGAAGTCATCAACGGGTTACTCTCTGAATGACGTGACGTTAAAGGGGTATAGGGTTCAACCAGAATTAGTGGATATTTTGTGTAGGTTTCGGTCGTTTAAATATGTAATAATTGCGGACATTGAAAAGATGTACCGCCAAATTAAAGTAGAACCATCACAGACCTTTTTGCAAAATATTCTATGGAGAGACGGACCTAATCAAAGTTTGCAATGTATAGAGTTACAAACAGTAACCTACGGAACAAAGGCTGCGCCGTTTTTAGCTACAAGGGTATTATCTGAATTAGGTAATAAAAATTTAGACAATTTTCCACTAGCGGCAAATACTATTCTTAATCAATGTTATGTAGATGATATATTAAGCGGTGCAATGGACTTGGATACGTTATTCGATTTACGTAATCAACTTATTAAGTTATTAGGGCTAGGAAATTTTAAATTACATAAATGGGGATCGAATTCAAAGGAGTTTTTAGCTAGCTTTCGTGTTTCAAATATTGATTATGCAATTAAACCAGACGAGGTGTCAAATAAGGTTCTAGGAATTTCTTGGAGCTCAATGTCCGACGAATTTTCGATTTCTACGCCACAAAAAATTAATTCTAGCGTCACTAAAAGGAATGTGCTATCAGTGATTGCGCAGATATACGATCCATTGGGATTGGTGGCTCCGGTAGTTGTAGTTGCAAAATTGATTATGCAGCAAATGTGGCTGTTGAAATTAGATTGGGACGACGTTTTAAGTGAAGAGTTAAGGGTGGAATGGGATAAATTTCTTAAAAATATTTTGGAACTGTCTGATTTAAAAATATCAAGGTGGTTGTTTTCGGATAAAAACGCAATCTCGATTGAAATACATGGGTTTGCTGATTCAAGTTTAAGAGCCTTTGGGGCATGTATATATTTAAGGGTAATTTATGAGGATCACACGGTATCCTGTAAACTTATTTGTTCTAAATCTAGGGTGGCGCCGTTAAAATCTATTACAATTCCTAAATTGGAACTAAGCGCGTGTTTGTTATTATCTAAGTTAGCAGCTAAGGTAGTTGAAACTTATAACAATACTTTTAAGATAGCTAGCGTTAATTTGTGGACCGATTCTCAAATTGCTTTGTGTTGGCTAAAGTCGCATCCTTCGAGATGGAATATATTTGTAGCAAACAGGGTGGCTCAAATTCAGGATTTAACGGCTTCTTTTAAATGGTGGTATATACGGTCAAAAGATAATCCAGCTGATTGTCTTTCACGGGGGGTTGACTCTAAGGATCTAAATGAAAATTCGCTGTGGTGGGAAGGTCCCACCGTGTTAAAAAATATTGACTTTACGTTTGATACTTTTAAGATTAATACCACTTTACAGGAGATCCCTGAACAAAGAAAGACAGTTTTAGTGATTAAAACAGATGTAGATTTTGATAATTTTTTCAAAAAATTTTCGTGTTTTACAAAATTAAAAAGGGTTTTAGCTTACTGTTTACGTTTTCTTAATAATATTAGGACTGGAAATACTAAATATAAGGGTTGCTTAACGGTGTACGAATTAGATAAAGCTCAATTAGTAATAGTTAAATATCTACAAAAGCAACATTTTTCTGACGAAATTGCACAGATCCAAAATAATAAATCCATAAAAAACAGGGCTATTTTGTCACTTAATCCATTTGTGGATGAGTCAGGTATATTGCGGGTAGGAGGCAGATTACACAACGCAAATGTTAGTTATTCACAGAAGCATCCGATATTATTACCATCAAAAAATTATGTTGTGTCTCTTCTGATGAGACACGAACATTTAAAACTTTACCACAGCGGTGCTCAAACAGTTTTATCTAACATAAGGTTAAAATATTGGCCTCTCAATGGATTACGCGAAATTAAAAGGATTATTAGGAATTGCGTTACATGTGTTAGGTTTAGATTACAGTCGTCACAACAAATAATGGCAAATTTGCCTAAGGACAGGCTATTGGCTACTCGAGCGTTTCAAATTGTGGGAATTGATTTTGGGGGACCATTTTTCATTAAAAATTCAAGAATAAGGAGGGCATCATGTGCAAAGGCGTATATTGTAGTTTTTATCTGTATGGTTACTAAATGTGTTCATCTAGAGTTAGTGACAAGTTTATCGTGTGAAGCATTTTTGTTAACCTTTAAGCGGTTTATCTCACGAAGGGGTAATCCAACCACAATTTATAGCGACAACGCCACTAATTTTCTAGGCGCGAGAAATCATTTACGCGAATTATATATATTTTTTAAAAATAGGGAAAATGAAAATAAAATTGTAGATTTTTTCGCAAATAAAGGCATACAATGGAAATTCATTCCACCTCGCTCTCGTATCGGGTTTGTAAATCAAGAAGTATAATTTTGGGAAATCTGCGCATAAACAAGGTTATGTGTAGGTTAAGGTTTTATACATTAAGTTTTTGTACATAGTGTTGTGTTTTTGAAAATATAAACCTTTAACGCAACAAGGGTCTTTAATTTGACAGTACTAGTCCATTGGTTCATCCTAAGCTAACGAGATGATGTGTAGCGAATTACGCACAGTATGCTTCGAATAGAGATGATTTCTACTAATGTAAATTCCCTGACCTTAGAATGAAATTGGTAAATGTTCCATATCCATATATGTTTTGCGGTAGCACACATCTGATTTTTGAGTTCACCATGCAAGCTGCGTGAAACTCCAAGTGAAAGTAGTCGACAGTTGTAAAGTAAACGTGACAGTATATTCAACACAGATGTGGGAGAATGAGGTAAAGGGCGAAAATATGACTCGTTAATAAGAAGGCACTCTTAGTGCGGTTGTCGGTATCGATACTTTTAGTGTCAATCGCATGGGAACCCCGAAAAGCATAAGCTTGATTTAGAGGCCGCTGGTTGTTGGAGCTCCAACTAAGTCCTGAAAAATGATGTATAGTGGGTTATGTGGCTGCATATGTGGAGTACCCGACCACTCGCGTAGTTCCCGGTTCAAACCTAATATAAGGATTTAAATTAGCCCTAGAAAATATACAATGGATGTCTATGCCCCAAACCGTTTGGCGAAAAGGAGACCTAAGAAGGTGATTTTACCATATAGGTGTATTGTACATAGCGTGTGGATAAACTTTACAAGGCTTACGCTACACGATAAATCCTCATCTAGTACTGGAAAGTTGATTTTTTTATAGTAAGGAAAATGTAGTCATTCATTTTGCTCTATGAGGATTACACACAAAGATACAATCCGTGAATTTTTCAAAATAACTTCAAAAATGTTTCCGAATACGTTCCGTTTTATCTATTTCAATGCATTGGAATGTAAAAGAGAAATAAAAGGTATTATAACGGCAAAAAAATGAGAGAGAGGGAAGGTCGACAGAGAATAAAAAGCAACAATTTTTAAACAAGGTTTAAGGTGCCATATCGCCTCATTCTTCTTTCCTGGAAAAGAAGTGAGTATTTGATGTGTCAGGTGTACATTTTTCTCACAGTATCGGCCGTTTGGAGACCGAGATGCCGCTCTTTAGTAGCATATATTTTGAATGGAAAATGGTTGCAATCGATTTGGACCGCTTTCAATTTCCTAAAAGTGTTCGGAAATTTATCTTACTTCAAAAGTTATTCAATGAAGTATCGCCCTTTTGCGGAGATCAATAAACAGCTACTGTTACTAGTCCTAATACATTTGATCTGAAAGTTAGGGTGCACTTGTGCAGTATGTAACTGACTATTTTAAGAATAAAAAAATAGAATATACTGAAATCAACACCACTACTTTCTAGCCACAGATGTAGACTGCTTTGGAAAGATCCCATACAGTGCAATTCTGTATCATGTCCTTAAGTGTGACCCAATTGCGAAAATCATATACGTAGTTTCTTACAAACTTTCCATAATTATATTTTGTAACTGTTGAAGTATTGTACGAGTAGTACACATAAGTACATACACTCAAAGATATCTCAACAGTACCGTTAGTAATGAATGGCAGCTAAATTGTTATATTCTTACCGGCATGCATTCCACTTATTTACCTGAAAAAGAAAAACTCAATTAGTAAATGGGTAACAAGAGGTATTTGGTACTTTAAGGACGTTCCCAAAAAAAAATTTTTCTTACGATCATTTTTAAAATTTAATTGTAAATACCTACCTGTATTCTGAACGCATACGAAAAATTTCGACCCATTTTGCGGTACTAAAATTGAACATATTAGCATTTTAAATTTCTATTTGAACGCATGTTAATTCATACATTCATGTAGGTTTTAGTGCCTAACAATTTCAATTTTCTTACAATTTTCTTTAAATTTCGAGAATTAGCAGTTAATATTCACATAAATAATTTCCATACAAAATCGGTACAAGAAGCGGTATTTATTTTGTTGTAAACAATGTGTAAAGTAAATCTCAGACTCAAACTCTCCTGCATAAGCTGATCAGTAGTATGCGACTTGGCTTCGCTGCAATAGAGCGGGACGTTTATGTTGGTTATCCTAAGCCGTAGAACCTACGTGTTTTCATTTATTGTTGCCTGATTTCTTTTAACAATATTAAAATTACTATTAATATTCACTAGATTGTAAGAATTATAATTAAAAAAAAAAAAAAAAAAACAGATTATGTTACATTTGGAGCTTGAGTTAACTTCTGCCTATTCTAATGTTGTTTGCATTGGTGACTGATTAATGTTTCCTGTAATGGCTAATATTGTTTACTTAAGTTTGCTTATCATTGTTTTATTACTAATCGGCTCACGGAGGTACCGTGTAACCGCGACTCATAGCTACTTGTAACTTGTTCTTTGATTTTCTTTATGTTTAATCTTTGCAAAATATTCAACAGTTGCCGTTTGACTTTGTAGCAATAAAGTCTTATTAATAAATATACACAATATTCGTCTCCTTCTTTTCATTCATCCTGATTACAACAATCGTGCAAACTTTGTTTATAAGTTTCCCTATATGTATACAACCGCGTAAGGTTCGAATCGCTCGAATGTTGCAAGTTGAATGAATCATCGTTATATGCTGCTTGCGAATGGATCACGGGACAGAGCTCTTTGATATTAAATTTAAAAAAACCAATCAAATCACGAATAAAATCCACAATGTGGTGTCTGTAACTGGCCAGTCGCGTCCAACGATTTTAAATTGCCGCCATGACATCTATTAGGTACTATAGATATGAATATGTATGTTTGAGTGTACTTGTTACACTCTAGCTAAAAAATATTAAAATAGATGTACCTAATTGTTTCAAAATCTTCATTATTTATTTGTTATATAAGGCACACAATATACAGGGTCCTTCAGACTGAGCGGTACATTAAACGTTTTAGGGAAACTAAGATTGTAGCAGATCTGAAAATTTGGAAGTACGGATAATCGCAGATGGTCTTTTTAACTAAAATAACTTCATCTGTCACCACTTCCGGTTATACCAGAAATTGATGTCAACTTTGTTATTTTAAATGGAATGGTATAATTTCTNTAGAGGCAGAAACAGGAGTTAGGAGGGGTAGAGGTAGACCTAGATTAGATTACTCTTCGCAAATAGTTAAGGATGTGGGTTGTTCTAGTTTTAGGGAAATGCGAAGTTTAGCTCAGGATAGGAAAGAATGGAGGTACGTGTCCAACCAGTTTTAGGACTGATGACCTTATGATGATGATGATGATGAATAATAAAAATGGTCAATTATATAAAATGTTAAAAAATGTACTTATAATAAATAAGTATAGCTTTATATTACCGAAACTAATAAATAAATTATTAGGCATTTATTTTTCTTAAAAATTGTATCACTTTAGTAATGATATCTTTTCACCTTCATCAGTTCGAGACGATACAAATATGAGACGTTGTCAAGTCGAGTAATTCGATGTAATAAGTCAACTTTTTCGCTTATGTGCTTGGAAGGCGGGGCAAAGGAGCGAAGTGCTGGTCAACTAATTCTTACAGTACAAGTTATATAGGGAAAACGTATTTGTAGGTTGAGAACCATTGGTCTTTGGGAAGGTCCTTAAATGCTTGTTGCGTTCAGTTCATTAAAAAATTCAAAAAAGTAGTGGATTGTTAATAAACACTTCTATTAAACAGAAGTACACTCCATTTCGTTATTTTTCAACTTTTATGTTAATATAACAACGCCTCCAGATTATATTATTAATATATACAATAATATAAGCACGTTTATTTATTTGAAAATATTATGATTTGATCATTTTGACGCCTGGCAATTAATTAATTATTAAAATTAATTAACTGTTTTGTTTGTTGTAAATTCGATCACTACAACGGAAATATATAAATAGATTGAAATAA